TCCCATCATCCCATAGAGACAAAAACAGCACTATGCACAAAATAGTGATATTGTAGAAAGGAAGAATTCTTGATTGTCTTTTTTATTTGACCTCAGTAGTGGAAATCACGCGGGGCCATTCTTTTCAGCTACACACATAGTTACATCAGGCATTCTTATCTCAACACCTGTAAGTTGAATTTTTAAGGTCCATGAGCCTCCCTAAAATTTTACACAAGTTTTGATGGGTGTTTGTGTTTTCCTAGGGAATGGCCTCATAGACTCCCTCAGATTCACAGGATAGCCTATTCTCTAAGTGCGAGGAGGCACTGAACTACTCAGAAATATCCAGGCTACGGGTGGCATACACCCAGAGATAGGGTTAGCCTGAGAGTAAGGGCTCAGGAAAGGGAGGAGGAGGTTGTAACACCAGGACCACAGGCACCAATCCGGGCCGACCTGCCCACGGCGGGTCTTCCTTTCTCCTCCAGACTCCCTGACCTCTACGCAATAGGCCAACAATCTCACCCAAATTTATGAGGAAAGGAAGAGAAACATCTGAGGCTGGTTCCGAATGCTAGTGATAAACCACATCTTGCCTACTCTGACTGAGGGAAGAACCGGAAGATTGAGTTGCCCTCCTTGGGCATCTGGACTCCCAGTATGTCCTGGGGGAGTATGCAAAGACATCCACATTGCCCCCCTATGGCATGTGTGGAGGTCACAACCAGGCCAGAACATAGAGACAGACACCACCCTACCTTGCTCATCCATCATTCATTTAACAGTAATCACATAGCACTGAGGTCGCCATTAGTGTGAACAGTTGTTTCATTAATTCAGCTTTGTGTGTGTTTATATGCATTCCACCACACTCCAGATCACTAGAAGTCAACACTCTTATCAAAGACTGATCACATTAACACACAGATAATGGTGGTTAATAATTATTTTTCAAGTGAATAAACAATGTATTCAGTAATCAAATAGCTGGATTTGGTGCTTTCTCCAACTTCAGGAGCCAACGAGGAGCCTGCTTATCTCTTAGTGGTGGATTGTGCTGAAATGTCTCTTAAAATCAATGGGGCTTTTTAATTCTGAGATTGTGATCATAGATTCGGTGCAGGGCTATGGATCCTGGGTGCGAGTTCTTAAATTTCAAGTTATAATAATTTATATTTAGGCAGTTCTTGGCACTTTATAAACTGCTTCACACATTCTCAGAAATTGTGCACTTACCTTCCCATGCAGAGAGGTTTGAGGAAGAGCTCTGAAGTATTTCTTTGCTGCTGTGGGGCAACCTGAACAATTTAGGTTGATTTCCAGAGAAATAAGTTCCCTGGCTCCCCTCTGGTTAGGATCTGATAGTTTTCTCAGTTACTAAGAGCCTCTTCCTGCTATTTAAATCTGTCTGCTCTGGTTCTATCTTTAGCAAGCATTTAGATAAGACCTGAGGAGTTAATGTTTTCCTGGCAAAACCTGGAGGAATACTTTGCTGTTCTTTCTCTTCTTTTATGAAGACTGGAGAACCGTTAGCTATAAAATAGTCAGGTTGATCTACTTTAACTAAGGCAGTCAGGCCAAATGGGAGCTATTCTTCCCAGAGCAGGCAGCCTGTCCAAGGTGGAGGCAAATATCCATGGGTGTCACTGTTTGTGCTGAACACATAACAAGGGCTGGAAAATGAACACTAGAGATGACAGTTTAGACAAGGCCCTGCTGCAATGATGAGTTTCCAGTGAGTTAGAAGGGTTGAGCCAGGAGGATTCCAAAGACCTGATTAATTAGGAAGCTTTTAGAAGCACACTGTGTCAAAGGGGAGAATGGTATTTCTGAACTTGACAAACACTACTCATAAAACCTGGGACAGCATCTCAAGTGGCAGCAGGGAAAATATTCCAAAGCTAAAACCAGAATAACAAACAGAAGGAGTGTTGTGAGGAGAAAGAACCTTTCAGGACAGCAGTATTTCTGATACCGTGATGGGGAAAAGTGGGTAGGGCAAGAGCCATTCCATTCCTCAGCAGAGCTGGTCCCAACAGCAGCTGTCCAGCCCTACTTTAGCTCTCATGGGGACTCTCCCAGCACTGCGTCAGCTCCCCTGGGTTGTCATGAGGGCGCTGTAAAATGCAGGAAGTGTTAGCACACTGACCCGCTGTGTTAGTTAGCTTTCCATGACTGTAACCAACCCCTGGTATAGACAATGTATGCAGAGAAAACACTTTGGCTCTATGACCAACTGGTCCCATTGCTTACGGGCCCATGGCAAGACAGCATAGCTTGGCAGGGCATATGTAGAGGAGAAAAACCTCTCATATCATGGCCCAGAAGTAAAAATATATGAAGAAGAAGAAGAGGTCTGGGGACCTTCCTTTCCCTTCCAAGGGCACATGCCCAGTGACCCAACTTCCTGTCAGTAGGCCCCACCTCTTGAGGAATTCACCACCCCCTAAACTTTAACACATGAGCCTTTGGGGGACACTTGAGATACAAACTCCATCTCCCAGGAACAGTTGCTTCTGCACGGGTTTACACTAATAGTACTGGTATGTACCTGGCAAGAGTGCTCCTGAGGCAATAGGCCTGGATGCTTTCACAGTGAAGACAGAAAATGTCCAGAGTAAGGGAGACTCTGTGAGAGAGGGCTGAGATGTAGCACAGAGCATTCTCTTCTTTGGAGCAGATACTGAAGGGAAGCATAAGTTTGGACATGACTGCATTAGGGGCTCCCCAGGCTGCTTTTGCTGACACTGAGATTTTCCTAGAGGTGGCTCTGTTGGGAGTTTCTTCAATTAAGTTAAAAGAAACAGATGCATTTGCATCTGACCCAAGGCAGGCTCTCACTTCCTCTAGTTCTCAGTACCCCACCTCCTTTGATTCTTGCCTATTCTCTCTAAGGGATTTGAAGTGCCTGTTCCCCAAAGGACAATGGGCAGGGTCACCAGCACCCAACCCTTCCCGGTTGTGAAGGCACAGAAAGACGTAAGGATCTCCACTGTACACTATCCACCTTGCTAATTAGTGCGTGGATGTGGTGTACGCTATCCAGCTCTCTGCTTCCAAAATGATCAACAACCCATATGGCTGTTTATTTAGCAAGGTCACAAATATTGGGTATTGCCACCATCACTATTTGGAGGCAATCCAGTGATACATCAGTGTGAAAATTAGAACCCCTTGGCAAGATGTTTGAATGTGTTTGGGCCCAAATAAAAGGCACTTTTGAGATACTGCCTTTATTTATTATTTTAGTAACATCTAGTCTAGCCAGTTGTTTCAAATCATTTCACTTCCTCAGAGTTTTGACTTAGCATACAGTTGGAGAGTCTGTCTTTTTAAAATGAAAATTCCTGCTTTTCTATATTAATTAACCAAGCAAAATGACATGCTTTGGATTGCCTGGTCTATTGTAAACTAGATTGAACCACAATTTCTGGACTTAATAGTAGCAAAACGCCACAAAGAGTGAATTAGCCTTAAATTACAATCCTGCCTGTCCCGTCTTTGATCTCAGAGCCCCACACAGGTCAGTAACCCTGTCTTAGCTTTTTTTTTTTTTTTTTTTGCATGTGTAAAAAATCAAGAGGATGGTAGTTATCAAAAGAAAGTCGCATAAATTAAATGAGCTCATACCTGAGGAGCAGGCATCGTTTAGTACAATGAGCCATAAAAAAGTCAGGAATGCTTGCTAGGTGGGTGTCTCAGACTAATGTCACCAGGGAGTCAGGAAGACAAGAAAAGGCTGGTAGGAAGGGCTTCTGAGAGGTGGGGCTTATTTAATACATAGGTTCTGGCCTTGAACACTAAATGAGATCAGAACTGTGGTGTATTAGTCAATAATTGGTATCTCATGGGGCAGATATTTAACTGAAAGTAAGTTCCCCCCAGCAGTCTTATCCTGGGATACATGGAGGTTACAGTGTTAGTAGACTGAGTTTCTTTTCCAAATTGGCCATTATGAGTTTTAAGACAACAGGAAGGGTTCTGGGGCAGAAGAAAGTCTACGAGTGACCTTGGACCCTTGATATGCTATGCGTAGTGATTCCCCCAATTTTAAAAAGTCATTTGCTTTCCAGAAGTGAGACTACTTTATAAACTCCTAACGAGTGAGGAAACACCTTTGTCAGTATTGAGAAATTGAGGTAGGATTTTGAACAATCACTTTGTCCACAAAGCATCCGAGATTCAGGCTTAGTCCTCCAGTGGGGCCCCAGACACGTTGCTCCACTCCTGCATGTCTGGGCCACTGTTGCTGCCCCTCTAGTTCTAGTGGCCTGAACATCACAGAACAGATGCCATTTGCTACTGCATTTCCCTGAAAATAAGATCTAAGTGGAAAATAAGTCCTAGCTTGTCATTACCATGGTGACGGCCAGTGTCCTGCAGAAGATTTTACCTCATTATTCTCTTGCTTGGTGGATATGCTGTAAACCAAGTAAGGCAAGGATAGGGGCTGGCATTTTTGATCTTAATTTTCAGTGCTGATTATTTCCCTGATAGGTCTTATTTTCAGGGAAATGCGGCGTTTAACCCCTCAAGAACACATGGATGAATAAAAATAAAAACCAAAGCAATATACTCATGGAAATATGTAAATAAGCATCCCATTTGTGATACTCAATACCAATGAAGAAATAGTTACGGAGCTGCTGCTGGGGTGGATTTTCTTGAATGTTTGCTTTACTCAGTTCCTATATAGGAATTTCATTGTGTCCTTGATAATTGTAGAAGTGGCTTGCCTTTCAAGACTGAAGCTACCCAAAAGTTCCTGGCCTCCTGATTTTTTACTCACTTCCTAAGTGAGGTAATAGTCTTAGCTGGCCTTACCTCTGCTCTTGGAGGATGGCCTGTCAGTACAGTACCGGTTTGCACCGACTTCCTACCCTCAGCAAGCTCTTTAAACAAGCAGTGATTGGCCGAGGGGTCAGGAGTGAAGTGGATGTTGCGGGTGGCGGGAGGTTGGGGTTTTCTGTACTGAGGCTGTTGGTGCTCTGCGTCCAGTGAATTTCCCCTTCACTCACCACTGAATGATTCAGCCACGCTGGCAAAATGCCATCTAGAAGCTTGGGGTAAACAAGCTCGCGATCATAGAGAAATATGGTCCAGAACATCAGAAATACAAACTGGAAAATAAAACACAAAAACAGGACCATTAAGTTTGTTTTCAACCAGAATTCTCTAAGACAATCAAGGAAACACGGCAAAACAAAAGCAGATACCTGTTTTAGTGTCTTAGATTCATTTACATCATGGGACTGTAGAAGGAAGGGGAAGATGATGTTTATTGTAGCTCTAGCTACTCTCTCCGGGGATATCTCCCTGCTCCGAATTTTGCATTCATCCATTCTTATACTCCATGGATGTTCTGTCAGAACCTCTGTCCCTGTGTGAAAAGTCAGTGCCCAGCCTGTGGGGAGGTGGGTTTTAATCTTATGATCTTCCTATCTTCTGAAATTTCATAGGCTTAATTCCTAACTTTAAAGAAGTGAATGAGCTTCATTGTTAGTTTGAAAAACTTAATCTTTGCAAGACTTCAGGGATGGAGGTGGAGGTCTTCTGCAAAGCAAACCTGGAATACCAGATCTGGTTCTGTCAGGTGAGAACTTGTTAATGTTTGGAGAGGCTCATTTCCCATTTAGTTTTGAAGACCACACGAGACAGGACAATGCTACGTGGATGAAGATAGTGATTCTAATCCTAGGCCCTGCTGGGCAGCAAGCAGGTTTGATCTCAGTTTGTTTCCATTCCAGCCAGTGAAGGGAGACGTAAACGATGGCGTGGGAACATGGATAGCAGCAGTAAGCATCCTGTCCCTTATACACGTCCTGCTTTTCCCTGCTATCTGTTCATTCAGCACAATGAATGAGGCACCTACTAAGTGCCTTGATTGCCTTTTTCATGTGCTGACTTTGGAAGTCTCATACCTTTTACTTATTTTATTTTCTTATTTGATGTTTTCCATTTGTAGAGGTAACATAAACTTATTCTAACAAGAGAAACAAATAAGCCCTCTCCCGCCCCCAGCTCGTCATTCTCATCACTCAGTTGTCAGGTGTTCCTCATTATCCACGGGGGACAGGTCCCCAAGGAGACCAAATGCAGAGATGCCCAATCTCTTGTATAAAGTGGCCTAGCATTTGCGTATAACCTGTGCACGTTCTCCTGCAGTTTAAACTGTCCTACAGTTACTTTCACTAGCTGATACAATGCACATGTTATTTAAAGAGGTGTTTAAAATATGTTGACTTTTAAATTTTTTATTATGGTGGTTTTACTTTGTGTATTTGAATATTTTGCACCCACGGTTGGTTGTATTAATGGCCATGAAACCCGCAGATATGAAGGGACAACTGCTTTATTAAGAAGGGTCCTTCAAACTTCCCCCTTTGGAAGTAGTAAGGGCCGTGCCCCAAGCCTTCCCTAAGATACAAAACTGAATGATAAAGCTGATCAGTAATGTAGCCCATTTCCTGGCGACGCTGGACAACAAGGTGCAGTGCTCAGACCGAACATTTAGCAAATCTGGTTACAATAATGGATTCCCAGGCAGTCTCGCTCCCCAGGAGAGCTGGCCGTCCATTTGTACATGTCTATTAGAGGAGACACAACATCTTGGTAACTTACTGTGCAGACAGGAAAAGCCAGGGTGGCAAAAAGCAGGTCTCTGAGTGCCGTGATGAACTTAATGTCTTTCTTCCTTTTGATTCTTTTCAGCACATCATCCAGGCAGGCGACCCCGAAGTAAACAGCCTGCAAGAGCTAAGTTCATTACAACAAATGAGGGCACTTTCATTTGCTTTAATGAATACATTCTTCACTGATGTAAAACCCCATCCCTCTGGGAGCAATGTTGATTGGAGAAGGAGGGGTCTGTGGGGTTGTTCTGGTGGAGAGCCAACTCAAAGCCCAGGCTTCCAGCTCATTGGGCCCTGCCCTTGCTCGCAAAAACCTATTGAGGAAATTCGTTTAGGGGATAATAATGTGTACAGTATTAAGTGTAATGGACTTGAGCTAAAATGGAAACAAAATAGTCAGCTAAAAAGGAGGATAGAATTAGATAAAAGATACCTTGACTACACAGAAGTGGGAAAAACCAAATAGCTGAAACCCAACAGCTAGGTACAAGGGTGGAAATGGTCAGGTGGCTTCCTAAGGAAGAAAACTAAGAAAAAGGCCCAGGGCTGAATTCTGACTAGGAAAGTCAGGCTAGGGGGTAAGAGCTCCAGCAAAGACCAGTGCACTAACACGAGAAGTCCAAAGGACCGAGCAGATGAGCCGTGAGCTCTGGTAAGCAGCCTAGTGCTACGAGGTTCCCGAGGCAAAGCCAAAGGGAAGCAGAGTCTTTTTCAAAGAAGTACAGGTTAAGTGGCCCTTATCAAAATGTTTGGACCAGCAGTATTTCAGATTTTGTACTTTTACAGATTTTGAAATATTTTCATATGCACAACTAAACATCTTAGGGCTGGGACACAAGTCTGGGCACAAAATTCATTTATGTTCAAGTGCTGTGGTTCTCATACAAATCGCTGGAAGGTAATTTGTACAATATTTTTAAACAATGTTGTGCAGGAAACTGAGTTTCGTGGTGTGGAATTTTCCACTCAGGCATCACACTGGTGCTCAAAAAGTTTTGGATTTTGAAGCATTTCAAATGTCAGACTTTTGGATTTGGATGCACAGCCTGAAATATGGCTTGGAAGGAAAACTTTTGCTCCATCTTAAGGTTTTTTTTCATCCCTTGGCTTCTAATTTAAGGCCCAAGGGGCCACTGCTATATAAAGTTTGGGTTGGTTTTGAGTTATGCTCACATCAAGACCCATCCTAATTGTTGAAAAGTAGGTGAGGGGCAGCCTGGACGCTGCTCTCAGGCAGGAAGTTCTGAACCTGAGAGGTGAGGAGGTGATTGATTGTGTTGGCTGTTGGGAAACAATGTCTAAGGTCTGAACTCCAGGAAGATCTCGTGGAGTTGACCTCAAGATGCCCCTGGCCGGAGGGGTAAGTGGGAGAGGATATGGACTTGGATGCAGCCAATACACCAGCTGGGTTCCCAGATCCCCAGCACCCAGACCACTTGCACCCACCCTGGACGATGGAGTCAGAATCTCAGGAAAAGTGTACAAGAGGTGATTTTCTAACAAGCTCTTCAGCTGACCCCATGTAGGCTAAAGTTCTAGGACCAGTGTATTAGACATAATTTTATCATTCAAAATCCTTCCTGACTACTCAAAACTCTAATGACCAGCTGACTCATCACGTGTCATGCCAGGCACTGGATGGAGCTTGTAATCCTCATTACAACATTAGGAAGTACACCCCGCCATCCCCAACTTACAGACAAGGAAACTGAGGCAGAGAGACATTAACAAACTTGCCTTACATTGGATGGCTTCAGAGTTTGGTTCTTGAGCCAGACTTTAGAAAGAGAATCACCAGATTTCTAAGGACAACTGACATGTCAGAAGAGAGATAATATGTCCAGGTGGAAGCATTAAAAACAACTTTAAAAAAATACTGATGCTTGATCTCTGGCCCTAGAGGGACTGCTGTAATGGTTCTAGGGTACAGAGTAGGCTTTGCGGTTTTTAAAAATCTTTTTCAAGGATTCTAAATTTGGGCAGCTAATGTTGAGAAGCACCTGCTTACAGGGACTTCCACCTGGAATTCATGTCAGACACTCTCCGGAGAGGTTGGGCCAACGAGTCCCAGGGAGTTGAGTCTGCATAGGGGTTGAGATTGCCAGGGACAGTGGTAGGGGGGAAATGCTCTTCCCCAAGGAGTTGCCAAGGTAGCAGAGAGTGCCCCGGTGGTAGAAATCAGAGCTGGACAAGAACCTCATGATACCTAAGAGGGAGGAAGCCTGTCTCCAGGAGACAGTGTGTGGGAGGGGCTGGGTGACGCTTTTAAATGTCATGCAGGGCTTGCCACTCCACTACATAACGGTGGTGATTTTGACATCCAGCCCCTGAGGGCTTCAGGATTTGGACTAGAAGTCCTTTGCACAAGGACGCTAGAGGAGGGTGTGTCCTGCTCCTCCCTCCCCTGCCCAGGCAGCTCACATCTCACCCCTGCTTTCCCTGCCAGCTGCTCGGGCCACAGCAGGTCACTGTTGCAGTCAGGGCAAGCAGGCACGGGGCCTGGGCCCCAGGCAGAGAGGCCTCTGTTGTTCCATGACCACAGCAATTAATCACACACTGAGCATCTGCCAGGTCTTCCCTTTTCAGGGGAGAGGCTGCCCCATCGGCATGTGAAGTCCACGTGACCCGCTGTCCTTATGCCAGAGCTTCTTACAGTCATTGTGAGTCAAGCTCGTGCTTTCTGTTGCTCTTCCCAGGCACAGAATGTGGAAAGCAGATTAGGGGAAAGACCGCATTACTCAGCTCCTCCGGGATTTCTCCACCAATAACGCTTGGCTCCCCGCTGCAGACTTGCCAATCACTGCTCCCCTCCACCCCTTGGCACGCCGCGCTATTGTCTCGCAGGCACATGCCACCTTCACATGCCAACTGTGTGGAAGGCAGCCTCTCTGCCACTGAGCTCACCCCGCACTGGCATGTCATCATCCAAGGACTCTTCGGGGAACCTCCACGTCGGCACTGAGGAGGGAGCTGCTAGGATTTTGCCAGGAGAAAGACATAGACAAGGTCTGGGGCAAAAAGGAGCCATAGAGCAGTCTTGGGGGTTAAGGGTTGGGGGAGAAGCCATGGACTTCAAGAGGAGGCTGCTTTTGGGTGGTGGGAGAAAGGTGAGGTCAAGGACAAGTGTGGACTAGATCAACCGAATGAACAATGACTGCTCTTTCTCCAAGGACGGTCCTGTGCCATGTGTATGAAAGATGTGCCGAAGGAACGGTCCAGGGAGGAAAGGTCAGCTGCTGAGGGCTCAGTTGTGCTCCCCCAACAAATTTACATAGTGAAGTCCTAATATGTAATCGAGCCTTGCAAGAGATACAGTTCATTAATACGGGTAGGTTCTAAGGCAAAAGGACTTTCATCCTTATAATAAGAGATTAGGGCACAGCCACACACAGAGGGCAGACCACATGAGGACACAGGGACACGTTATCACCTGTAAGCCAAGGAGAAAAGAACCAGCCCTGGTGGCCGCTTGTTCTCAGATCCCAGCCTCAGATCTCCAAGACAGTAGATTTTGCTTGTTGAGCCACCCGTCTCTGTTATGGCAACCCTAGCAAACTACACAGTAGCATTAAAATAGAATAGCAACAACTAGTCTTCTCCTAAGAATCTTGTAACAAAATTACCGTCATTTCCATTTCTGAACTATTTTGGGTGCCCAGGAGAGCAGACTTCCCAGTGTCGCCTTGTTCCGAGTGTACTTGGATTCGTCCTCTCTGCGGGTTTGCTCCCCATTCTGCCCCACTGTGGGATTCTCTGCCCCACGGTGGGATTCATTGCTGTTTCCTGAACCGCTGCTGTTCTAAATTTGCTAGCTGCCTTTCGCTCCTGTTGCTAGCCGACAAACTCACTGCCAGGGACAGCTGAATTTATATTTTTTATAATTAATGCAGTTTAAGAAACTGTAGCTAAGGGATATTTAGTTTTTATATTCCCGTGTCTTCACAAATCCCCCCAAACCTTAAAATCATAGAAATTTAGCCTTTCTAAGTCATTGACTTTATTACCTTATCTTAATGCCAGAACCCTCATAAACTACCCCAGGAAATGAGAATTTCTTCTATTAAAAAAATTATTCCAGAGGGGGAGAGTCCACGAGTTCCCTGAGCAAGACATTACAACTCCTGTTGGGTGAATCAAGTAACCCAGAAGCCCCCAGCTGGGGAGTCTGTGCCTGACTCAGCCAGGCTGGGACTTTCTTCTTCCTCTGCTTCAGAGTGATGCAACCCCTGCAACAATGCTACCCCAGCATGTAAGAGCAAAGAGGGAAAGAACACTGTCACGGTGTGGGGATGTGGCGCTGTCTGGAGTAGACACAGGGAGCTTTCTGCCAGTCTGTCTGTACCGCTGTGTGTTGTGCTGTTCCAGGTACGATTCCTGTGCACTTAGCTGGAGGAAGAACTTGGGGTAAGAGAAGGAGATAAATAACGTGGGAACAGAAACAGTGTGAAGAGCACAATCGGAATTAACAGAGAGGAGTAAAGGGGGTGGGGGCAGGGAGGGGAAAGGAGGAAAGGAAATGAAAAAGGGAATTACAGCGTGTTATGTGCATGGACCAACTCCCCACGAGCAATGGAAACATTATGCACTGCAAACATGTAGTAATAAAAAAAACTTAAAAAAAAGATAATATTATTGTTACGGTTAGGGGGTTTTTGCAAGGAGAACAATATGATACAGGACACGTATTTTATAAGATTATTTATTTATAATAGTCACCCAAAGAATCTCACAATAATGTCCTGCATGAGTTCAGCTGAAGACATACAGTCCATAAAAATGTCTCGTGCAGCCCTCTTTCACGAATCTGTGCTGGGAAGGCCCAAAGGTCAATGGTGGAATCTAGAAAGTCTGTGCCAGAGGGATGAAGGATCTGTGCTAGCAGCATGAAGGATCTACATTGGAGCCGGAAGCAACGCTCAAAATAAGAACCAGAGCTCCCCCAATAAGTGTCATAGCCATTCTCAGCAACAGTGAGGTCCCGAGCTCCTCCGATGATGAAGACAGCTGAGTTCCCATCAGGAGAACCAATGCAGCAAGCTTCTCCAGAAGATTGAGCTGTGCACCTTCTTCCCCTCCAGAGCCAGGAAGCGATGCTCAGAGTGAGGACCAGAGCTCCCCAAAAGT